GTCAACCGCGTCAACCCGGGCGACACGGGCGGCATTCACGGGATGCTGCCGCTGCACGTGGGCATGCGCATACGCCTGCTGGAGCACCTGGACCTCGACAAGGTGCTCGTCAAGGACGCCGAGGGCGCGGTCGTGCACGTGGCCATCAACCCGAAGGATGAGGGCGTGGTGGAGAGAGCGAAGGCCGAGGGAGGTCGGGCGTACCTGCGGTACCTGCCGTACGGCGTGTGGGTGCGCATGGACAAGTACAAGGGTGGTCCCTGCGGAAAGAAGCTCAAGGAGCTCGATGACAGCATCGACGCTGCGAACGCAGCGGGCCTCGTCTTCGTCGAGCCACAGAGCTCGAGCCCGTTCGACTTCCGCAAGTACAAGGTCACGCGCACTGGCTTCGTCATCTCCCACGCCGAGGTCCTGACGTCCACTGCCTGCCAGGGCCGCACCATGCACCGCGGAGTCATTGTTGACGCAGGGTGCAAGGATGCGAACGACCTGGATGCTCTGTGGCTGCACCTCTACGTGATGCTGTCCAGGGCGACGACGATAGACAACCGACTGATGGTGCTCGACCCCGGCCTTGACTTTTTGCCCGCGGCCCACCAGCAGACCTTGCGGAGAAACTGCGGAAGTTCAGTTCCCGCACTGCAACATGCAGGAAGGAGGCAGAGAAGCTGGCGCGCGAGCTAGGTCTCGATCGCTTCCTGCACTAGATATAAACAGGTATGATCCTGTGGACAGGCAGCAGGCATGCGTTGACCGAGCTCCTGCAAAAACGAAACAGTCTCTTGTTTCCTCCCTCCTCTTTCATCATCGCCGCCCTAGTCCTCCTGTTACCTTATGCATTCATGGTGCTGCTGCTGCGATGGCTCCTCGCCCCTTCCTACTGGGTTCGTCCTTCTCCTGTCCCTCGTTCCCGCCCCAGCTATTGTTTAACAAGCCTTGAGACATACTCCTCGTCTTATCGATTGCTGTTCTGTGAGTCGTGCGACATTACGCATCCCATGTAGGTCGCACTACAAATCGCCGCGCCTGCACTGTCACGGTTCCTGCTAATGTTTCCCTACTCCGCTTGCCACTCGATGCCATTGGGTTGGGTGCGCCGCAGGGTAATTTTTTGGGAGGTCGATCGGGCCCTCGCCAGGCCTGGAAGACGAACCTCCGATGCTTCCTCTACCGCGCTCGTGCGCAGTAGGCGCGTCGTGCGTTGCGCAACGTGCTGGCTGAACTGCGCCCGCCCTTGCCCATCGAAGAAAGAAAAAAAACCAAAGCAGGAAGAAGGCCTCCCCTAAACTTGCAGGTTTACAGTGCCACGGGAGGGCCTCCAGAGATTATGCGAGAGTTCGCGTCTGTGTGCGTTGCAGATATGTGAGTCGTTCCGGCTCTTCGTGGTGTGAGTCGTTGGGGCCCCTCGTCCTTCCTTGTGTGATTCCTTCGGGCCCCTCATTGTGTGTGAGTCGTTCGGGCTCCTCGTGGTGTGAGTCCCCTCCTTGTGTGTGAGTCGTTCGGGCCCCTCCTCCTGGTGTAACTCGTTCGGGCTCCTCGTGGTGTGAGTCGTTCGGGGCCCGCGTCGTGGTGTGAGTCGTTCGGGCTCCTCGTGGTGTGAGTCGTTCCGGCGCCTCGTCCTGGTGTGAGTCGTTCGGGCCCCTCCTTGTGGTGTGAGTCGTTCGGGCTCTTCGTGTTGTGAGTCGTTCGGGCCCCTCGTCCTGGTGTGAGTCGTTCGGGCTCCTCGTGGGGCCTCTTGGGGGCCTCTTGGAGCCTCTTGGGGCCTCTTGGGGGCCTCTTGGGGGCCTCTTGGGGGTCTCTTGGGGGCCTCTTGGGGCCTCTTGGGGCCTCTTGGGGACCTCTTGGGGGCCTCTTGGGGACCTCTTGGGGCCTCTTGGGAGCGTCTTGGGGGCCTCTTGGATTCCTCTTGGGAGCCTCCTTGGGGGCCTCTTGGGGCCATCTTGGGGCCTCTTGCGACCTCCTCAGAAGCGCAAGTGAGCGCTGCCCCCTGAGAAGGATAAAATGAGCCGAAAACCTTCGTGAAATCAATGATTTTGCTATGAAGGAAGAGGGGCGCGGCCCCCTCAGAAGGCCAAAGTGGGGCCACAACCGCAGTAACATCAATGTTTTTGGCTTCAAAAACGAGCTGAGGGGCCAAACTCCCTCCCCCCGTCGGGGCCAGAATCCTCGTGAGGGTCGTCGTTTTTTGGCCCTCCCAGGAGTCGAAAAAGACCCCCCTGCCACCACTCGGGACTCCCTCTCCAGGTCCAGGGGGAGGGGGTAGGGGGAGGGGTAAACCCCTCCCCGAAGGGGAAGAGGGGGGGTTGAGGACAGAGCGGGCTCTCCAAACCACTCACGCCCAAAGAGCTGGTGGGATTTTCGTGATGCTGATCCTGATGATGATGATGGTGATGATGATGACGGTGATCGATGACGAATGATGTCTAAGACGAGGCTGGTGATGACTATGTTGATGATGAAGCTGGTGATGATGATGCTGGTGATGATGATGACGATGATGATGATTGTGTGTATGATGCTACTGGTAATGGTAATGACGAAGATTCCGATGATGATTATGCTGGTGATGGTGAGACTGGAAATGTTGATGACGATGATGCTCCTGCTAATGATGGCGACTGACGACGACGAAGACGGTGACGGTGATGGTTTGGATTATGATGATTCTGATGATGATGATGGTGGTGCTGACGGTGATGACGATGACGACGACGACAAGGAGGATGAGGAGGACGATAATGAGGATGAGGATGAGGATGAGGAGAAGGATGATGATGAAGATGATGCTGATGATGCTGATGATGATGATATTGATGTTGATGATGCTGATGATGACGATGACGATGACGATGACGATGACGATGATGATGATGATGGTGATGATGATGCTGATGATGATGATGATGGTGGTGGTGGTGGTGGTGATGATGAGGCTGATGCTTCTGATGGCGATGTTGATGATGATGGTGGTGCCGCTGCTGCTGCTGATGATGATGATGACTGTGCCGGTTTCTGTTGATGAGGATGATGTTGATAATGATGATGCTGATGATGATGCTGATGCTGATGCTGATGCTGATGCTGATGCTGATGCTGCGGATGATGATGCTGATGCTGATGATGATGCTGATGATGATGCTGATGCTGATGCTGATGATGATGCTGATACCGATGATGGTGCTGATGCTAATGCCGCTGCTGATGATGACAATGATGACGTTGTCGATGATGAGGATGATGCTGATGATGATGATGCTGATGATGCTGATGATGACGATGCTGATGACGATGATGACGACGACGATGATGATGATGATGATGATGATGATGATGATGATGATGATGATGATGACGATGATGGTGATACTGATGCTGCTGATAATGCTGATGATGCTGATGCTGTTGATGATGCTGATGATGCTGATGATGCTGACGATGATGCTGCTGCTGCTGCTGCTGATGATGATGATGATGATGATGATGATGATGATGATGATGATGATGATGACGAGGAGGAAGAGGAGGAGGAGGAGGAGGAGGAGGAGAGGATTAGGATGAGAGAAGGTGGAGGAGGATGAGGGAGGAGAGGAGGAGGAGGGAGAGGCGGAGGACGAGGAGGAGGGAGGAGGAGGAGGGAGTAGGAGGAGAGGAGGAGGAAGGAGGAGGTAAGGATAGAGGAGGAGGAAGGAAGGATGAGGAGGAGGAGGAGGAGGAGAGGAAGGAGGAGGAGGAGGAGGAGGGAGAAGTGAGGAGGAGGAGGAGGAGAGGAGGAGGAGGGAGGAGGAGGAGAGGAGGAGGAGGAGGAGGAGTAGGAGGAGGAGGAGGAGGGGAGGAGAGGAGGAGGAGGAGGCAGGTGAGGAGAGGCGGAGGAGGAGGAGGAGGAGGAGAAGGAGGAGGAGGAGGAGGAGGAGGATGAGGAGCTGGAGGAGCTGGAGGAGGAGGAGGAGGAGGAGGAGGTTGGTGATGAAACCCGTTTGGGCCGTCTTGGGGCTGTCTTGGCATCCTGTGAGGCAGTTTCGGGAGTCCCTCGAGGCCCTCTTGGGCCGTCTTGGGGCCCTCTGACGCAGGCTGGCTTGCTTCGTTTTGGCCGTCTTGGGGCCCTCTTGGCCGTATGGTGGGTGTCTGGGGGTGGGGGGGCCGTCGTTGGGCCGTCTTGGCGCCGCCTTTGGGCCGTCCGCGGGCCTTCTGCGGCCGTGAAGGGCCGTCTTGGGGCCGCCTTGGATGCCTCTTGGGCCATCGTGGAGTCCTCGTGGACCGTCGTGAGCTGACGGCAGCCCGAAAAGGCGGGCGAGAATGCGAACATCATTCGAAACCGAGGGGAATCCATGATTTCGGCTTCTTCGGGCCCCATTGGAGGTCCTGTTGTGGTACTTTCGGGCTCTCTTGGAGGCATGTTGGGCCGTCTTGAAGCAATATCCGGCCGCCTTGGGGCCAGTTTGGGCCATCTCCGCGGCATCTTGGGCCATCTTGGTGTCTTTGGTTGCGTGCACGGGCCGTCTTGGAGGCTCTCGACGCAGATCTATCGTCTTCAACGAGGGACCGTGGCTTGGGAGGCCCCGGAGCGCTTGGGAGCAGCGCGTGGGCATGCGGGACGCGCACGATCCTCGAGCGGTGGGATGTAGTTGGCGGCCATGCGGTAACTGCGCAGTCCTCAAGCGGCAGGCCCTTCAGAGCCTGACAATCCTTCAGTATATACGCCGTGCTCGCAAGCTTGGGAGTCCTTGGGCACTGCATTACGTGCTCCAGGCGCGATGGCGCATGTCGAACCAACATGAGAACATCATCAGAAGTGGGCGAGCGAGGCAGGGATAATCAGCCACGCGCAGAGGGGGGTGGGGGGAGGGGGGAGGGCTTCCTAGAAGCACCCCTGCTTCTTAGAGGGCGCGGGTCTTATCTGTCGATGCAAGGCCGGCGCCCTCCAAGAAGCAGCCTCTCCTTCTAAGAAGCCCTCTCCCCTCCCCCTACCCCCTTGTGCGCGCCGCCAGTATAAGTCACCCTCCCCGTGGCTTGATCACAGGTGCTCGACGCGCGGGAGGACGCGCCAGCGTCGGACCTCATCAGTGCGGCGGACACGGAGAGCGCGAGCGAGCTCGACGTTGAGGCGAAACCCCTTAAGAGGGCCGCCTCGCCCGAGGCCGAGGCCGTCGAACAGAGAAAGAAGGCCGCGTTCGACTTCGAGTCGGTGGACAGGGAGGCCGCGGAGGAGTACGAGGAAGAGAAGCGAACCCAGGCGGAGGCAGAGGAGAAAAAGAAGCTCGCGTTCGATTTCGAGACAGTGGACAAGGAGGCCGCACAGGAGTACGAGGAAGAGAAGAGGATCCAGGCGGATGCAGAGGAGGCCAAGAGCCTGCAGAGGAAGAGGAGCGGGGGGCTCCCGAATGGCCGCGATCATCCAGGGCGAGCTGCGCCACCATCCTGGCCAGGAGAAGGAGGAGGCTGTGGAGGAGGAGGAGGAGGAGGAGGCGGCGAAGGAGGAGGATGATGAGGAGGAGGACGAGGAGGAGGGAGGGGGATGAGGAGGATGAGGAGGAGGGAAGGAGGGGGAAGGACGAGGAGGAGACAGACCCAGTCCAGCCTGGGGCCTCCTCCTCCTCCTCCTCCTCCTGCGCCTCCTCTCTTCGTCCTACCCCTCCCTCCTCCCTCCTCCTCCTCCCCCTCCTCCTCCTCCTCCTCCTCCTCCTGTGCTCCTCGTCGTCGTCGTCGTCGTCCTCCTCCTCCTCCTCCTCCTCCTCCTCCTCCTCCTCCATCTGCTCCTCCTCCTCCTCCTTCTCCTCCTCGTCCTGCTCCTCTTCAAGGATCGAGGTTCGAGGATCGAGTTTTTCCTCTCTCCGTGTCCAGGGGCACTCTCTGGGCCGCCTCGGGGGCCCCCTGGAGGCCTCTGGAAGTCCCCCGGAGGAGCCCCTGGAGACTCTGGTCCGGACCTAAGTCGGGCCTGGCCCTTTACAGGGGGAATATTCAAAAATAGTCTAAACATAGTCAGAGTGAGGGGGCCGAGCGGTCATTCACTGTCCCTGGGTGCGTGGCTGAAGTGGGATTCCGCGGTGCGGATTCTTGTTGTTGTTGTTGTTGTTGTTGTTGTTGTTGTTGTTGTTGTTGTTGTTGTTGTTGTTGTTGTTGTTGTTGTTGTTGTTGTTGTTGTTGTTGTGTTTGTTGTTTGTTGTTTGTTGTTTGTTGTTTGTTGTTGTTTGTTGTCGTCGTCCCACCCGAAACCCGCCCCGCGACCCACCCGCGACCCACCCCGCGACCCACCCCGCGACCCACCCGCGACCCACCCGCGACCCGCCCGCGACCCACCCCGCGACCCACCCCGCCACCAACTCGCGACCAACCCGCGACCCTCCCGCGACCCACCCCGCGACCCACCCGCGACCCACTCCGCGACCCACCCCACGACCCACCCCGCGACCCACCCGCGACCCACCCACCCGACCCGCGCCCGCGGCCCACCCCGCGACCCACCCGCGACCCACCCGCGACACACCCGCGACCCACCCGCGATCCTCCCGCGACCCACCGCGACCCACCCGCGACCCACCTTCGACCCAAACCACGTTCAAGGTACAAACCAACATTTTCGGCGCCTGCGGCGGGCTTTTTTTGCATCCCTTCCAGGTGGAGAGCCCGCGACCCACCCCGCGACCACCTCGCGACCAACCCGCGACCTAAACCCCGTTCAGGGTACAAACCACATTTTTCGGCGCCGGTGGCGGGCATCTTTTGCATTCGTTCCAGGTGGAGAGCCCGCGGCCCACCCGCGACCACGTTCAGGGTACAAACCAAATTTTTCGGCGCCTGCGGCGGGCATCTTTGCAGTCGTTCCCGGTGGAGAACCCGCGGCCCACCCGCGACCCAAACCACGCTCAGTGTCAGAGTGAGGGGACTGAACCGAACGGTCATTCACTGTCCCTGGGTGCGTGGCTGAAGTGAGATTCCTCGATGCGGATTCTTGTTGTTGTTGTTGTTGTTGTTGTTGTTGTTGTTGTTGTTGTTGTTGTTGTTGTTGTTGTTGTTGTTGTTGTTGATGTTGAACATTATTAATTCTAAAGAATAATTATTGTTGGGCCCCTGGTGCACGGCCCCCCTGCGCCGCCTAGGCCGCAGCTACATTTTCATCATTTTCGTGAGGAAGCCTCAGGTAATTCGATGTGATCAAGATCCGGTTGTTTTGTTGTAATCCGCTTTCCCTTGCAAAAAACACTATAAAATGACATTTCTTGTTCTAATATAATCAAATTTCAAGAATCCCTTGCAAAAAATAAGGTAAAGTGGACATTCGCGCGCGCAAGACGAAATCCTTCCAAAAGCTTAGTGTTCGGAGCGATTTTAACATAAAAACATCAAAAAACCAATGGTTTTTCAACAAAAAAATGTCAAAATCTCATCCCGCGCGCTCTTGCGGATTCGTAGGAAAACAACACTTTTTAAACATTTCTGTCAAACGGGCTTTTGCGAGCAACTTTTTCGAACTTCTGCGACAACGGTTGCGCACCTGCCAGGGCCATCATCCCTGTCAAATAATACCATGCGGGACACATTCGTTTTTTTGCGCGCGCACGCCGAAATCTCCAAAAACCATTGGGTCCTCGAAAAACACCTGCACGTCTTCCCTTGCGAGTACGTATCATGTGTATCATGTGTATCATGTACCATATGCATCATATGCAACAGATGTTCTGTGGAAGGCTTAACAACTTCTGTGGGTTAACAAGGCTTAACAACTTCTGTGGGTGTACGAACGTAGGCTTAACAACTTCTGTGGGTGTGTACTCCACGCCAGTGTAGTAGCCACGGTCGTCCGCAGGCCACGAAGTGAAGTGTCCGAACGTCATAGGGCGGGAAGCTGGGTGTGGGTGGTGGCGAAGAGTCGTGTGGATATTTGGTAGAGCTTGCATTGCCCCCCCACAAAGTGGGGGTATTGGCTGGCGTCGCATGAAAACCCTGGCACTGGTGAGAACACTGAGCGTTCGGGTAAAGTGATTGTTGTTGTTGTTGTTGTTGTTGTTGTTGTTGTTGTTGTTGTTGTTGTTGTTGTTGTTGTTGTTGTTGTTGTTGTTGTTGTTGTTTGTTGTTTGTTGTTGTCGTCGTCCCATCCGCGACCTGCCCCGCGACCCACCCGCGACCCACCCCGCGACCCACCCGCGACCCACCCCGCGACCCACCCGCGACACACCATCGACCCACCCCTGACCCACCTGCGACCCAACCCGCGACCCACCTCCATTGTTAAAAACAATTTTGCGCCTGCAGCGGGCTTCTTCAGAGCCTCGCAGACTGCAGACGTCCCCGCCGCCCCTTCTCTCTTATCCGCAACTGCGGGGTGCTACATATGGGGACTATTTTTGGAGTGTGTTTTGACCTTTTTGGGGTATTTTTTGGTATTTTTCATTTTTCGTCGAAGATCCCCCTGTGGGGGGACGCGCCCGACATGAGTCTGGACCAAGCAAGGCAGACGTGCGCTGGCAGGCGGGCTCCCGGGCAAGTCCAGGTTATGCCTGGAGCGCTCCGGAATCGGCCACGCGCCAGAGTGACCCCTCGCGGGAGTGACCTCCGGTGCGGGTGCACGGCCCCCCACCCCCAGCACTGTCCTGCGCGCTCAGGTTTGGCGCCGCCGTGGCCCGCTGGAGCCGTGCGCCAACGGCCACTCTTGCCTATGGGCCACTCCTACGCGTCGCCGATGGGGGTCCCTCCTCCTCCCCCCCTCCCTTTCCTGGAGGCTCCCTGGGAGGCTCCTCCCCCTCCCCTGCCCTCCCCGCCCCCTCTTCTGGTGCGCCGCGGGCTGGGCGTGCTGCCCCCTGCTCCCTTCCCCCCTGGGAATCGGCGGCGAGCGAGGGGGGGAAGTGAGAAGGAGAAGGCATGCTCACAAGGCGGGGCGGGGCTTCTCAGAAGGCCGGGGGACTTCCGAGCCTTCTGAGAAGGCCCGCCTCTTCTCACTTCCCCCCGCGCTCACCGCCAAGTGATAGCTTCGAGCAGGCGCCCGAACCCGACGAGGCCGATCCCGATCCCGTTCTCCTTTCGATGTTCGTTTTGGGGTCCTGCCTGGGGCCACCTGGCGGACCCGTTCGACTCTGGTTCAAGTCTAGTTCGACTCTAGTTGGACCCTTGCTCGACTCAAGCTCGACTCAACTTCGACTCGAGCTCGAATCACGTCGTTGACGGACGTGCGACTCAGCGTTGACGCGTGAGCGGAGCGAGGTGCTCCAGGAAGCTCCCGAGAACGGGCATTTGACCTCCGAGACCACAGCCTGGGGGACCGATCGATCTTCGGGGACCTCGGCAGGCGGCGGACCCCCAGGGCCAAGCTGTGTCCCTCCGCCTCCTCCTCCGCCTCCTCCTCCTCCTCTTCGTCGTCCTCCCCTCCTCCTCCCCCTCCTCCTCCTCCCCCTCCTCCTCCATCTGCTCCTCCTCCTTCTCCTTCTCCTTCTCCTCCTCCTCCTCCTCCTGCTCCTCCTCCTGCTCCTCCTCCTCCTCCTCTTTCTCCTCCTCTTTCTCCTCCTCGTCCTGCTCCTCTTCAAGGATCGAGGTCCGAGGATCCAGTTTTTCCTCTGTCCGTGTCCGGGGGCACTCTCCGGGCAGCCTCTGGGGCCCCCCGGAGGCCTCTGGAGGTCCCCGGAAGGAGCCCCTGGAGACTCTGTCGGGGGTGGACAGAACCCCCAACAGTGACACGTCGATTAGTGAATTGTCCGTTTTCGGTTCTCGAGAGGGCGCCGTGGCCGTTATTTTCCAGGCTTGCGCCCGCCAGGTTTGGGCCTCGGGTCGTTTTCACTAAATCACGTTTTACTAAAGGGGGGTCTGTCCATCCCCGACTCTGGTCCGGACCTAAGTCGGGCCTGTCCCTCTACAGGGGGAATATTCAAACATCGTCCAAACATCGTATGGGGACTATTTTTGGAGCATTGTTTGACCTTTCTGGGGTATTTTTTTGGGGGTATTTTTTTCAGTTTTCGTCGAACATCCCCCTGTCTGGGGGACGCGCCCGACATCAGTCTGGACCAAGCCGGGCAGGAGTGCGCTGGCAGGCGGGCTCCCGGGCATGCCCAGGTTATGCCTGGAGCGCTCCGGAATCGGCCACGCGCCAGCGTGGCCCCCTGTAGGAGTGACTTCCGGTGCGGGTGCACGGCCCCCCCCCACCCCGAGCACCGTCCTGCGCGCTCAGGTGTGGTCCCGCCGTGGCCCTCTGGAGCCGTGCGCCAGCGGCCACTCTTGCCTAGGGGCCTCTCCGGCGTGTCGCCGATGGGGGTCCCTCCTCCTCCTCCTCCTCCTCCTCCTCCTCCTCCTCCTCCTCCTCCTCCTCCTCCTCCCTTCCTCCTCCCTTTCCTGGAGACTCCCTGGGAGGCTCCCCCCCTTCCCCTGCCCTCCCCGCCCCCTCTTCTGGTGCGCCTGGGGCTGGGCGTGCTGCCCCCTTCCCCCTTCCCCCCTGAGAATCGGCGGCGAGCGAGGGGGGAGGTGAGAAGGAGAAGGCGTTCTCACAAGGCGGGGCGGGGCTTCTCAGAAGGCCGGGGGACTTCCGAGCCTTCTGAGAAGGCCCGCCTCTTCTCACTTCCCCCCGCGCTCACCGCCAAGTGATAGCTTCGAGCAGGCGCCCGAACCCGACGAGGCCGATCCCGATCCCGTTCTCCTTTCGACGTTCGTTTGGGGGTCCTGCCTGGGGCCACCTGGCGGATCCGTTCGACTCTGGTTCAAATCTAGTTCGACTCTAGTTGGACCCTGGCTCGACTCAAGCTCGACTCAACTTCGACTCGAGCTCGAATCACGTCGTTGACGGACGTGCGACTCAGCGTTGACGCGTGAGCGGAGCGAGGTGCTCCAGGAAGCTCCCGAGAACGGGCATTTGACCTCCGAAACCACAGCCTGGGGGACCGATCGATCTTCGGGGACCTCGGCAGGCGGCGGACCCCCAGGGCCAAGCTGTGTCCCTCCGCCTCCTCCTCCGCCTCCTCCTCCTCCTCCTCCTCCTCCTCCCTCCTCTCCTCCTCCTCCTCCTCCTCTTCCTCCTCCTCCTCGCTCCTCCTCCTCCTCCTCCTCCTCCCCCTCCTCCCCTTTTTCCCCTCCTCTTGCGCCTCCTCCTCCTCCTCCCCTCCTCCTCCTCCTCCTCCTCCTCCTCCTCCTCCTCCTCCTCCTCCTCCTCCCGCATCCCCTCCCCTCAGCTCCTCCCCCTCCTCCCCTCCTCCTCCCCCTCCTCCCCCGCCTCCTCCTCCCCTCCTCCTCCTCCTAGTCATCCCCTCCTCCTCTCCTCCTCCTCCTCCTCCTCCTCCTCCTCCTCCTCCTCCTCCTCCTCCTCCTCCTCCCTCCTCCCCTCCTCCCCCTCCTCCTTCCCTTCCTCCTCCCCCTCCCCCTCCTCATCCGCCGCCCCCCGGTGCCCCGTGGCGTCGGTCTCCCCGCGGAGGGCGCACGGCTCCGGCGCTCGCCTCGCCTCGCCCGTCTCCCCTTGTCACAGCCAGGTCTGGCTGACTGGTGGGTCGGGATCCCCTCGGGAGTCTAGGCGGGGAGGTGATGGGCAAATCTTCCACCACCACTGCCATCATATGTAGGACGGGGGAGAAGTGGGGATGAGGAGGTCCTCCTCCTCCTCCTCCTCCTGCTTCTCCTCCTCCTGCTCCTCCTCCTCCTCCCTTTCCTACCCATGGTATTGGTGGTCGACAATGGGCCCATCAGGGGTGCCCCCGCGTGGCGAAGTCCCGAACAGGAAGTGGCTTACCATCCTGGAGCGACTACACGTAAGAGTGACCCTTCGCTGGAGTGACCTTTGGTGCGCGCCCACTGGGGCGCCCCGGTCGTTGACTGCGATGCGCTGGCAGCGGCCTGTGCGCTTGGGCTTGGTCCCCTCGCGACCCCCAACAGCCGAGTACCAAAGGTCACTTTTGTCTAGGGCCACTCTTGCGTGCAGCCAACTGGAGCATATCCTCATCCCTGAGATTGGCATTATCCTATCTCGGTACCGATCTGAAGGATCCCCCCAGTTTCTGAGGGCACATCCCTGAGATTGTCAGTCATCGTCTTGAGCTTGTCAACCTCAGGGGTAGGTGCAGGCTCGAGGCCGGGTAGCGGCATAGGCATAAGCTCTCGGCGGTCCGCGCGGGTTTTTTGGGTCAGAGGGGGGCGGGGCGCGGCACGCGAGGTTCCTCTTTTTCTTCCTCCTGCTCCTGCTCCTGCCCCTGCTCCTGTTCCTCCTCCTCCTCCTTCTCCTCCTACTCCCTTTTGGGCACGCTCGACTACCTACTCCTCCTCCTTCTCCTCCTCCTCCTCCTCCTCCTCCTTGTCTTCCCTTCCCCCCCTCTCCTCCTCCCCCCTCCGCTCCTCCCTCCTCGTCCTCGTCCTCGTTCTCCCTCTCTCTTCCCCCCCACTTCAGCCTTCCTCCCTCCTCCCTCCTCTCCTCGTCCTCGCCCTTGTCGTGCTCCCTGTCTTCGTCGTCGTCCTCCGCCTCCAGGAGAGAGGACGCGGTGAAGGCCTCCAGAGACGCCGAGGAAGCCGCTGTCGCGAAGAAGGAGCGAGGGTGCGTGCAGCCTGCGGTTGCCGCGTCGCCTCCTGCCTCGTCCCCCGTCTCCTCCTCTAGGGGCAGGAAGAGAATGATGCCCTGTGCTTCAGGATGATGGTAGTGATGATTACGATGATGATGATGATGATGATGATGATGATGATGATGATGATGATGATGATGGTGGTGGTGGTGATGATGATGATGGCGATGATGGTGATGCTGCTACTGATAATGGCAATGATTACGATGATGACGACGATGGTGGTGGTGGTGGTGCTGCTGCTGCTGACGACGATGTTGATGATGATGCTGGTGGTGATGATGATGTTGATGCTGATGATGACGATGATGATGCTGCTGCATATGATAATGATACCGATGTTGAACCTGTTGCCGACGTGGATGCTGCCGATGATGACGGAACCCGTGATGATAATGAACGCTGATTGTGATGATATTGCTCATGGTGATGATGCTGGTGCTGATGATGCTGCTGCTGTTGCTGATGATTGTGATGAGGGTGATGATGATGCTGATGATGCTGCTGCTGCTGATGATGATGCGGATGCAGACGATGACGATGACGATGATTATAATGAGGATGTCGACGATGCTGATGCTGATGTTAATGCTGCTGATACTGATGCTGATGCTGCTGATGATGATGCTGCTGGTGATGATGACCATACTGATGCTGATGCTGATGACGCTGCTGCTGCAGCTGATGCTGCTGCTGCTGATGATAATGACGATGCGGCCGACGATGCTATTTATGATGATGACGACGGTGACGATGACGATGACGACGAGGACGACGACGACGGCAACAACCACGATGACGATGATGCTGACGATGATGCTGACGATGATGATGATGATGATGATGATGATGATGATGATGATGATGATGATGATGATGATGATGATGATGATGCTGACGACGGTGATGGTGATGATGATGACGATTATGACGATGATGATGCTGGTGGTGATACTGACAATGTTGCTGAGGAGAGGATGGCGATGATGCAGATGACGACGATGATGCTGATGCTGCTGCTGATGCTGATGCTGATGATGCTGATGACGGCGACGATGATAGCAATACTGATGGCTGTGACGACGATAGTGATGCTGATGCTGATGATGCTGACGATTAGGATGATGATGATGATGATGTTGATGATAATGATGATGATGATGATGATGATGATGATGATGATGATGATGATGATGATGGTGATGATGATGACGATGCTGCTGCTGATGATGATGATGATGCGGATGCTGCTGCTGCTGATGAGGATGATGATGGTACTGCTGCTGATGCTGATGATGATGACGATGATGATGATGATGATGATGATGATGATGATGATGATGATGATGATGATTATAATGAGGATGCTGATGATGATGCTAATGATGATGATGCTGCTGATGATGATGATGCTGATGATGATGCTGCTGGATGATGATGACGATGATGATGATGATGATGAGGATGATGATGGTGGAGGCGGTGTTGTTGCTGCTGCTGATGATGATGATGACGATGATGATGCTGGCGATACGGATGGCGACGACGATGATGATTGTGCTGATGTTTTCGACGATGCTGATGCTGCTGCTGATGATGAGGATGCTGCTGATGTCGCTGATGATGATGCTGGTAGTGATTTCCCCCCACTGGGCTTCGGGCGGGGGCATCATCTGCATATCAGGACTTAGCTCCTTGCGTCACACTGGTCCGCATGTCACAAGATGGTCGTCATCGTCCTCCTTCTTTTCCTCCATCCGGCACCTTTCCTCATCCCCGAGGAGACCGCGGACCAACTCTACAGGAAGGCTCTGGAGCTCAAGGCCCAAGTGCAGATGGACAGGCAAGCCGTCGAGCAGGAACGGAAGAAGCTGGCAGACGCTGAGGATGCCGCGACGAAGGCTCGGCCAGCGGGCCGGCGACTGTGCCTATAGATCGGCCGTTCGAGCGGCGGTCGCCTGGCGCCAGTTCGACAAAGGGAGGAATGAGGGTTGTGGAGGTGGGTGGGGGAAGAGGCATGGCTGCATGTCGAGCAAGGAGGAGGAGGAGGAGGAGGAGGAGGAGGAGGAGAGAGGAGGAGGAGATGAGGAGGAGGAGGAGGAGGAGGAGGACGGGGAGGAGGAGTAGGACCAGCATAAACCCAAGAGTCATCAACGATGTTGGAGTAAACCCTCCCTCCCAAGCTCTCTCTATTCATAGGCCCCATACAACGGCTCTCTCTTCATAGGCCCCATACAACGGGTTGTGGAGGTGGGTGGGGGAAGAGGGATGGCTGCATGTCGGCCACGCGCAAAGGGGGGTCGGGGGAGGGGGGGAAGGCTTCCTAGGAGAACCCCTGCTTCCTGGACGGCGCGGGCCTTGTCTGTAGATGTAAGGCAGGCGCCTTCGAAAAAGCAGCCTTCTTCTAAGAAACCTTTCCCCTATCCCCCCTATCTCCTTGTGCGCGCCGCCAAGCATGGACGTCTGAACAAGTGGCCAGGCCACCCCCTCCGCTTTTTCCAGACCTGGCCAGCTTCCTTCACTTTTTGCAGCCCTGGCCACGGGTGGAGGAGGACGAGGATCAGGGGGGGATGAAGTGCAGTGGATGGAGGTGGGGAGTGGGAGGACACGAGGCAGGAGGAGGAGGAGGAGCAGGAGGATGATGCGGAGAAGGAGGAGCAAGGAGGAGGAGGAGGAGGAGGAGGAGGAGGAGAAGGAGGAGGAGGATGATGGGGAGGAGGAGTATGACCAGCGTAAACCCAAGAGTCATCAACGATGTTGGAGTAAACCCTCCCTCCAAGCTCTCTCTTCATAGGCCCCATACAACGGCTCATTTCCATTGATGGAACTGCCTCGTTGGAAGACACTCGTTTGAAGACCCTGAAGCATGCCAAAACATGGTGCTCGGGATCGCAACGCCACGGATCAACCTAACTGTTGCGTCTTGACGATCTTGAATCATGCCAGAACGCCGTTCCTAGGACTTCAATGCAGAGAATCAATGTAAGTGTTGCACCCGCATGATCCGGAATCTTTCCAACACGCAATTTCTGGTACGTTGATTATGGGAGCCCGTGAAACTCTTGCAATTGTTGTGTAAAAGAATGCGTGCGGCGCTAAGGCGAGCGCCACATTTTGAAAAGGAACCGCCCTCAATATGTGAAATTCTTGCACATCGTTAAAACGAATGTGCGCCGCGCTAAGGCGAGCGCCACATTTTGAACACCACTCGCCCTCAATCCGTGAAGCTCTTGCAAATTTGTTTCAGGGAATGTGCGCGGCGCGAGGGCGAGAGCCACATTTTGAAAACGGCCCGCCCTCAATCCGTGAAGCTCTTCTGCATTTTTTTTGAACGAATGTGCGCAGCGCTCATGAGAGAGCCACATTTTGAAAACCACTCGCCCTCAATCCGTGAAACTCGTGCAAACGTTTACAACACATGTGCGCGGCGCTAAGGCGAGAGCCACATTCTGAAAATCACCCGCCCTCCATCTGTGAAACTGTTGCCAGTTTTTCAGCTTCAGAGTCGTAAATAGTGAGGAAGTCCCAGGCGAAACGCTCGGCCCGCCCTAATAACTGGTTTCGGGGCGCGGCAGGGAGAAGTTATTTATAAGGGAAAGGAATGGAGGACGAGTACGAGGAGGAGGAAACGGGGGAGGAGGAAACGGAGGAGGAGGAGGAGGCGGATGAGGAGGAGGAGCGACCGAGCGAGCCATCCGACATAGTCGTCTTTCAACAAAGAGCGAGCCCCCCCACCCGCCTCAGAGCGCCACGAGCTCCGCGACGAACACGTTGAGGAAGAAGAGGAGGCTACCAGTCACGCAACGATATGGAACCGTGGTTTCACAACTATTTAATCGGACGCCGACCTTGGCCCAATCGATCGGCGGTCTTGTAGGGATTGCTTCCCGTTCGGCCTTCGGCGGCGTCCGCAAAATGGCGGCATCACGAATAAGGTGCGCACGATCCTCCTGCCATCGTCGGGAACGGACTCGCTGCAGGAACGGGCGCCTTGAGGGCCCGAACAGCGTCTAGCTCTGGATCTGGGCCTCCACCTCGGAAATGCGCGCTTCGACGGACAAAGAACAAAGAACACAACACATCTCCAGCTCCGTTTGAAGCCGCCTTCTGGGAAGAACCGTTGGACAATGAAGCGGCCGCAGCAGCACCCTCCACATCTCCAGGCTCCTCCACGGCAGCGGCGTCCGTCACGGTCGCAGCAGGCGGCAGCGGCTCCTCGTCGGCCGTTAGAGCATAAGGGAGGACTCGATGATCAGTGCCTCTCTGCCCGCCCAGGGCCGCCGATGAAAAAACAGACGAACCGTACCAGCATCGCAAGCCCTCGAAGTGCGCCTCGACGGGCTCCCAGACGCCGTGGAAGTCGAGCGGCTCGACCTCCTCGGACGCGACATGTGGCACGAACTGCGGAGCGTCCGCATTCCCCTCGAACTGAACGTGCGCGTCCGCATCCACCGAATGCCCATTGCGGAGCGGCTTGTGCCGAGCTCTGTCACCAGCAACCTTGATTTCACGTGCACGTGAAAACCAGCCAGGAGGCACGCCCGCAAGGCCCGCAACCTCGCGCAGAGCATCACCCAAACGATGACGGTGCCCTCCGAGGTGAGAATCGGTCTGGCGATGAAGCAGCAGCGCCCTGCCAAGTGCCGCAAGGCGAGCGGCCAGCTCCACGGCGCCGCCCTCCACGACCTGCAGCCCTTCCAAGGCATGGCCGACTGCCTCGTGGACGACTCCTTGGACGCGCCGCTCAGCACGTCCCTTGCGGAGCCTGCGCGCTAGATTGCGGTGCTGTTTTATTGAATTCTTTCAAGCAGCATTGTGATCGCATTCGTTTGAAGCTTCGCTCTCTGCCTCGGGGCTCGAAATCTTGGTGGCGCTTGTCGAATGAATTATTTGGTAAATTGGTCAAGTCTTCGTCGCCCGCCCTTCGCCGTTCCCCCTGGCCCACCGGGCCCTCTCTCGGGTGTGACACGCCCCGCAGGCCTCCCGCCGCCACCCCCAGGCTCCCCGGCAGCGCTCCGCCTGCGGCCCGGACCTGAGGTGCAGGCCTTGCCGGCTCGAGCCAGGGGGGGCCGCCCGCTGTGGGCGGCTTGCGCCAAAATGGCTACGGAGGAGGAGGAGGAGGAGGAGGAGGAGGAGGGAGGAATCGGAGGAGGAGGAGGACGAGGAAGAAAAGGAGGAGGAGGAGGGAGGAATAGGAGGATGATGATGATGATGATGATGATGATGGATGATGATGATGAGATGATTGATGATGATGATGATGATGATGATGATGATGATGATGATGATGATGATTGATGATGATGATGAGGAGGAGGAGGAGGAGGAGGGAGGAATAGGAGGAGGAGGAGGAGGACGAGGAGGAGGAGGAGGAGGAGGACGAGGAGGAGGAGGAGGAGGAGGAGGAGGAGGAGGAGGAGGAGGAGGACCAGTGTGAACCCAAGAGTCATCAACGACGTTGGAATACACCCACCCCCCTCTTCACAGGCCCCATACAACTGCTCATTCCCACTGAGGGAACTGCCTCGTTGGAAGACAACCGTTTGAAGACCCCGAAGCATGCCAAAACATTGTTCTCGGGATTCCAACGCCACGGGTCGACTTGACTGTTCCGTCTTGACGATCCTGAATCTTGCCAGAAAGCCATTCCTGGGACTTCAGCACCGCGAGTCAACGTAATTGCGCCTTCGTAACCGTTAATCTTTCCAAAGCACAATTTCTGGTACGATGATCATGGGAATCCGTGAAACTCTGGCAAATATATAACGAATGTGCGCGGCGCTAAGGTGAGAGCGACATTTTGAAAACGGCCCGCCCTCAATCCGTGAAGCTCTTGCAATTTGTTCCAGCGAATGTGCGCGGCGCTAAGGCGAGAGCCACATTTTGACAACGGCTCGCCCTCAATCCGTGAAGCGCTTGCAATTTGTTGCAGCGAATGTGCGCGGCGCGAAGAAGAGAGCCACATCTTGGAAACGGCCCGCCCTCAATCTGTGAAAGGCTTGCAAGCAAGTTGTTGTAGCGAATGTGCGCGGCGCTAAGACGAGAACCACATTTTGAAAACGGCCCGCCCTCAATCCGTGAAATATTTCTGCAATTTTGTTAAAACGAATGTGCGCGGCGCTCAGACGAGAGCCACATGTTTTAAACGGCCCACCCTCCATCTGTGAAGCTATTGCCAGCTTTTAGTTTCAAGGTCATACATGGTGAGGAAGTCTCAGGCGAAACGCCCGGCCCGCCCTAATGACTGGCCTCGGGGTGCGACCTGGAGAAATTAAGTATCAGGAGAAAGAACGGAGGAGGAGGAGGAGGAGGAGGAGGAGGAGGAGGAGGAGGAGGAGTAGGAGGAGGAGGAGGAGGAGGAGGAGGAGGAGGAGGAGGAGGAGGATCGGAGGAGGAGGAGGAGGAGAGAGGAGGTGAGGAGGAGGAGGAGAGGAGGAGGAGGAGGAAACGAGGAGGAGGAGGAGGCAGGAGGAGGGGAGGAGGAGGCAGGAGGAGAGGAGAGGGCGGAGGAGGAAGGAGGAGGAGGAGTAGGAGGAGGAGGGGGCAGCAGCAGGCGAGCACGCGCAGCTGCATGTCAGCAGCAGCAGTCCTGCCACAGCCGCGCCGCAGCCGCAGCAGCGCAGCAGCATGCCGCAGCAGGCAGCCGCCAGCAGTCAGCAGCAGCATCATCACTAGCACAGCGCAACAGCCCCCTCGCAAAAAACGCATCACCGAGACCGCAAAAAACGCATCACCGTACCGCTTACATTCGCAGCACAGTGCAGAACAGCCCAGGACAAAAGTGCAAGCACCACAACATGTTGGCGAACACCACTGTATGCTCGTGAGCACCAGGATACTCTGCGAGCGCCACGACGTG